AAAAAAAAAAAGGCAGATTTAAAAGTCTGATGAATTGGGGCTGGAGTTGTGGCTCAGTGATAGAGCACTTGCCTGGCATGTGTGAGGCCCTGGGTTCAATACTCAGCACTGCATATAAATAAATAAATAAAATTAAAGATACATTTACAGTTTAAATAATATTTTTTAAAAGTCCAATGAATCAATAATAAAATTAATTTATCATGTTCTTCTCTGGTCAAAAACCCTCATTAGCTCTTTGATGTTTTCAAAATAAAATCCATATTATTTATACTAGTCCTCACATTTTGTTCCCAGCCTACTTTTTCAAAGTTATTGTCCACTACACTTTATATCAGTTTGACCTAGGCATATTGCTTTCTCTACTCACTGTGTTTCAGATACCTTTTACACAATTCTATCTCACTACCTTTTATTCATTCTGTCTCATTTTCCTGAAATACCATCTCTCCTTCTCATCCTTTAAGAATCAGTACTTAAACTGGGCACAGTGGCACATATCTATAATCCCAACTCGGGAGGCTAAGGCAGGAAGATTGCAAATTAAAGGCCATATGAGCACCTTAGCATGACCCTGTCTCAATATAAAAAAAAATAAAAAAGACTGGGGATGTAACTCAATGGTAGAGAACCCCTGAATTCAATCTCCAGGACTCTCAATAAATAAAATAGAGTCTATTCACCTGACTCCTTCTAAGATTCAGTTCACCTGACAGCCTCCCACCCAGCATTTTGTGATCTCTGAAGGCCTATAGTAATCTCTCTCCTCTAAACTTGTAACTTACATTTGACTTAACACATCAGGAGGTACTTATGTATTGTCTTAGATTATTAGACTTTTTGCTGTGTTTCAGATCTAGTCCAGAGCCTCCTGAATGCTAGGCAAATATTCTGTCAATGAGCTACATCTCCAACCCTAGACTTTCTATTTACACTTGTCTTATCTCCAAGTAAGTAAAATATAAATGATGTAAAATGTAAAATGGTATAACTTCTGAAAACACTTTGGCTGCCCCTCAAAAAACTAAACATAAAATTACTAYATGACCCAGCAATTCCACTCCTAGATATATATGTAATGAAACTGAGAGCAGGCACTTAGACAAATACTTGTATGCTAATGTTCATTTCATAATTTTTCATAATAGCCAAAAGGTAAAAACAACCCCAAAACCCAAGTGTCTATCAATAGACAAATAAACAAAATGTGAGTATGCTACAACATAGATGAACTTTTTTTTTTCTCACAAAGCTTCATTCTCAGCTTTCATCCAACATAGATAAACTGAAAACATTATACTAAGTAAAAGAGGTCAGGAACAAAGAGATAAATATTATATGAATCTACTTACATTAGATACTTAGAACAGGCAAATACACAGAGACAGAAAGTAGATTAGCGATTACCAGGAACTGGGGAAAGGGAGGAACTGGAAGTTATTGCTTAACGGCTGCAGAGTTTGTATTTGGAATGATGAAAAAGTTTTGGACATAGACAATGTTTATGGTTGAACAAAATTGTTAATRGAATTAATGCCCCTGGATTGTACACTTAAAAATGGTTTAAGGTGCTGGTATTGTGGCTCAGCGGTAGAGCACTCACCTAGCACTGGCGGGACCCGAGTTCAATCCTCAGCACCACATAAAAATAAAGGCATTGTGTTGTGTCCATCTACACCTAAAAATAAATAAATAAAAAAAAATAATTAAAAAGGTTTAAAAAGCCAGGAACAGTGGCACACATCTGTAATGCCAGCAACTAGAGACGCTGGAACAGGATGATCACAAGTTCAAGACTAGCCTCAACAACTTAATGAGGCCATAAACAATTCAACAAGACTGTCTCAAAAAAAAAAAAATATTGGTGATGTATCTCAGTGGTAAAGTATCCCTGATACCATAAATAAATAAATAAAATGGCAAATTTTATAAATACCACAGTTTTTTTAAAATTAATAACACCATTTTAAAAGCCGTTAATTTGTACACTTCATTTTAGTTTTGGGTGCTCAAGATTGAACCCAGAGCTTCATGCATGCTAAGCACATGTTCCACCACTGAACTATACCCCCAGCCCAAATTGTACAGTTTATTTATTTGGTACTAGTGGAGATTGAACCTAGCACCTCATACATATTAGGCAAACACTATACCACTGAGCCAAATCTCTAGCCCCAAAACTGTACACTTTAAATAACAGAATGTATGGTATATAAATTATATTTCAATAAACAAGAGGAAAAGAAACAATGAGGCGAGGAGAGTGACACACACTCTCCTCTATYCCAACTACTTGGGAGCCAAGGCAGGAAGATTGCAAGTTCAAGGCCAGCCTCAGCAATTTATTAAGACCCTGTCTCAAAAAATAAAAGCACTGGGGATATAGCTCAGGGTAAAGTGCCCCTGGGTTTAATCCCCAGTACCAAAAAAAAAAAAAAAAGAGAACGAAATAAAGAGAAAATAAATCAAGAAGATAAGGGTAAGAAGAAAGTCAAACTACAAAGTTAGGGCATCTTAACAGCTGGGGTTGTAGCTCAATGGTAGAGCGCTTTCCTAGCATGTGTAATGTACTAGGTTTGATCCTTAGCACCATATAACATAAAAGTAAACAAATAAAATAAAGGTATTTTGTCCATCTGCAACTGAAAAAAAAAAAACCAGATAATCTATTGGTAATTCTTGTTTAGAAACCCAGTTTATGTGGCGCATGTTTGTAATCCCAGCAGTTTAGAACACTGAGGCAGGAGGATTGTGAGTTCAAAAAAAAAACCTCAGCAAAAGTGAGGCACGAAGCAACTCAGTGGGACCCTGTCTCTTAAATTCAAAATAGTGGTCGAGTGTCTCTGAGTTCAATCCCCAGTATCAAAAAAAAAGAAACCCAGTTTATGAWCACTGGTCACTATGACCCACAATGGTTAATGTGTTGCAGTGATCACTACCCAATATGCAATCCACCTCTCTAGAAAAATGGTTTATAATTCTTTTGCTTTATAGGAAGTGCCCGAAAATTAGAATTAAGGATCAGACTATTCTGTAGAAATGTCCTCCTTGATCATTGGACACATCGAAGTGATTCTGCTTTTTGGTTGACACGAATATTAAAACCATGGCCAATGGTGAATCAGGCAAGATTACTGTATATCATCTTTGGGCCAACATCTTCTCAGGATGGTGAGCACTGATTTTTCAGAATGTATGTTATATAACTGATTAATTGCTTTTGCTTTGTGAAGCCAATCTTTTTTACCTGTTCAATTCCACCACTCCTAATGATTAACCTATTTCATGATTTCATAGATGTATATACTACATTAACTTGTGCTTAGCTTAAGCGTCAAGACAGAAATTGTTCTGCTGAAGAACATTAACAAACGTTTTTTTATCGTCCCTGGGTTTATGTGAAATAGCTGTTTTCCAGTTTTAAACATTATCTTAACCCAAGGTTATGTTTGCTGCTGGAGTGTCTAATAGTACTACTAAGAAGCAAAGTAGTGGCAGAATTGATGCTTATTTAATTTCAGGTGCATAATATGACTTGCAAGATTTTTGCCTAAATTTTTCTTGCATTTCTTGCATTTCATGCATTTATTTAGTCCACATTGACTTATATCAGGAGGAAACTAAAATATGTTGAGAAGCAGCAGGGAGTTAATCTGAGATTAAAATTTTGTTATGTGTACTCCACAAAGAAAACTGGTCATAAATATAATAAAAAATTTAATTACTGTTTTGTTATATATGTTTAAAAGATTCTCAAATATAGCATGTTMTTTTGAGGAAGAATATCAGTGGTTTTTGTTTTATTTCAGTAAATTGCTTATTCCAATTTCTGTAATGAGGTAACATCATCTTTGAACTAAAAGCACTATTCTGATGAAACTACCTTTACTTTATCTGGCTATCTTGTTGCTATGTTTCATCACATTAGTAAGAAACATTCAAATTTATATTATTATCAGAATTGGCCTTTTATTATGAAAGTATCTTATATAAATGATGGGATCTCATTAGGCAATCCACTTTCCTTTTTAAACAATCCATGAAATCTGTATCACAAAACCAATTATTCTATCATAGCCTAGTTTCTGTTTCAATTCAGGACAGGTGGTTTGGCAGAAAATGATAGAAGGACCTACAGATGAATCCAGTCTGAAAGGTTTGGCTGATGCCATTAAACTACTGTATGATACAGGCACCAAAGAGTGGACAGCAGATGATGTTATCAGTCTTGTAGATGAACTGTCAGGTACAAATATTCATTTACTAATATACAGTAATATTATGACTGTATTAAGTACAGTAATAGAAATGTAGTGTTAGAATATTATTATAAAACTGTAAGAAAAGCCAGGTAGGGTGGTGCACACCCATAATCCCAGCAACCAAGGAGGCTGAGGTAAGAGAATTGTAGGTCCGTGGTGAGCCTCAGAAACTTAATGAGACCCTATCTCAAAATAAAATAAAAATGGGGCCTGGGATTGTAGCTCAATGGTAGAGTGCTTGCCTAGCATGTGTGAGGCACTGGGTTTTATTCTCACTGTACATATAAATAAATAAAGGTCCATTGACAACTAAAAATAATAAAATAAAAAGAGCTGGGGGTGTGGCTTAGTGGTAGAGTATCCCTGGGTTCAATCCCCAGTACTGGAAAAAAAAATTGTAAGGAAAATTCTACAGGTAACAAATTCAATCCTTATTAGAAACCACTGATTGCTCTAAAATATTTGAAGAGTTTTGCATAATGTTTGAAAAGAATACATTTAATAAATTTTCTTTCAATTGCCAATTTTATAAATATATTATTATTTGAAGGATTTATATTTTAATTATCTCTCTTATTCCCATTTTGTGAGTTCTTAGGAACATCTTTCTAGGTTATGTAAGAAGAAAACCCTCTCCTACTGGTATAGGAGAGGTGAAAATAATTTTTTTCATTCCTGCATAATGTTTTAGATGTTAAAGTTTACTAGGATTCTTCCTTATATAAGATTAGTTCACTTTGCCTCTCATATATGTAGGATAATTACTTTGACTACATTACTTCTACATTTGTAAAAGCTACCATGGCTTGGCAATAATCTCTGCTCTGGTTGAATGCTATAATTGAAAAACTTAAACATTTTTTCCTATGTGTTTCCCTTGGTACTAATTGTATTTCCAATAAGGCAATGTAATATTGCATGTATTTAAAGATGTTTAATATAGCTATTGTGTAATTTCTCATTAAATAACCATTCTTCCTCTAMTAAAAGTGGTTCCTCGGGAGTGGCTTCTAGAGAATAATGCACGTCTCCTAATCCTAAGTGGAAATAACATCTGTTTCACTTTCATGGCTAGTAAAGCTGTGAATGGACGGGCCATTGAACTGGCAAGGCTCATTGTCTTTTTGGCTTTGGTAAGTAAAAAATAAGTTTTTCTCTAGCAAGTTGTTTAACATTATAATTGATTTACCAGAGCGGCTGAGGATGTAGTTTAATGGTGGAGCACTTGCTAGCATACTTAAAGAGTTCCTGGGTTTGATTCCTGGCACTGCAAAAATGAAAAAAAAAAAAAAAAAAGATAAAATAAAGCCAGACTTAGTGGCACATGCCTGCAATCCCAGCTACTGGGGAGGCTGAGACAGCAGGATCAAAAGTTTGAGGCCATCCTTGGTGACCCTGTCTCAAAATAAAATGAAAAGTTCTGGGGATGTAGTTTAGTAGTAGATTGCTTTCCTAGCATTCACTAAGATCCTGGGTTCAACCTACATACAACAGATCAATAAATAAATTAATTCTTACTTTTCAGTTTTACCTAGGAACATGTAGTCTTTAAATATGTATCTTTTAAATCATGTAGAAATAGCCAGGCACAGTGGCCCATGCCTATAATCCCAACAATTTGAGGCAGGAGGACCTCAAGTTTGAGGCCAGCCTAGGCAATTTAGCAAAGCCCTAAAGCAATTTAGCAAGAACCTGTCTCAATTAAAAAATAAAAAGGGTTGGGGGGGGGGGAGCTGGGGTTGTGGCTCAGCAGTACAGTGTTTACCTAGCACATGTGAAGCACTGGCTTCCATCCTCAACACCACATGAAAAAATAAATAAATAAAATAAAGGTATTGTGTCATCTACAACTAAAAAATAAAAATAAATAAAGAGTTGGGGATGTAATTCAGTAGTAAAGCACTTCTGAGTTCAGTCCCAGTACCAAACAAACAAACAAATAAGTGTTCTTTAGGACTCTCAAGATGGAAAATTGATACCACAGTGCTTTGCCTACTGAAATTCTCTATTGTCTTCATTATATTCCCTGCAAATAAAGCCATGCCTTTTTTTTTTTTTTTTAAACCCATGGTGCCGACAATCAACTCCAGCACCTCATACATGCCAGGCAAGGATCTATCACTGAGCTGTATCCCCAGCTTCAAACCATGTTTTTATAGCTTATCTTTGTATCTCCAATTCTTTTTTTTATTTTTCTTTTCTTTCTTTCTTTTTTCTTTTTCTTTTTTCTTTTCTTTTTTTTAGGTGTAGATGGACATAACACAATGCCTTTTTTAATTTTTATGTGGTCCTGAGGATTAAACCTGGGTCCTGCCCATGCTAGGGGAGTCCTCTACCGCTGAGCCACAATCCCAGCCCCTCCAGTTCTTAGTGGTATTCTATAAATGCTTACAGAATGATTGAATGAGCAGAAGTCTTATATTTTATTATATAATAACTATTTTCAACATTAATTCTTGTATTAGTGAATAATACTCTGATAATCTTGAACCAGGCTTTTATTTATTTCATATTTTATTTCCACTAAAATTGCACCATTTGAAAGCAAAGAGTATTAAAGATACAAGCATTTCCTTTTTATAAAATCAATGGGGTATCATATGTAATACATTATGTTAAATCATACTATCATTGTCAGTACCATTTTCAAATTCTTTCTTCACATGAAGATTTACAATAATACTTTTATGTCTAAATCAGGTGTGTGAGAAAGAACTATACTGCATGGATTGGGCAGTTAAAATGATGCAAAAAGTCTGTAAAGTCTTTAGCACTCTGGTGGAAAGAAATAACTTCCTGCAGAGTGTGGCAAATGCATTTGCCTGTGTTACAATGGAAATGCTGCAGTCAATCATGTCTGGTAAGTATGAGTGAGTAAAAGTCTCTACTTAAGACAGAAATATTTCTGTGTAGACCATTATTTCTAAACTAACAATAGAAGGAGCAGACATTTTATTGTTCATTTGTGAGATATTTTTAGTTCCTAGCTTTAAAAAAAAAATTTTTTTTGTAGTTGTAGATGGACAGGATGCCTTTATTTTGTTTATTTTTATGTGGTACTGAGGATTGAGCCCAGTGCCTCATGCATGCTAGGCAGGTGCTCTACCGCTGAGCCACAACCCCAACCCTAGTTCCTAGCTTTTGTCACTTCAAAAATCTGCTAATGGTTTCAATAGAGAACATGAAGTTGAAGAGTCTGCTCTGAAAGGAACTAAATTTCAATTATGCTACACAACAAAAATTTTAATTTGCTCATTTACCAACTATCATTATCCTCATAATATCTCATGTTTGTATAGTTTTTGATAATATTTTATATTTTATTAGGTGGCCAACATGATAATTAATCCTCTTTTACAGATAAGAAAAATAAGGCTTTGAGAAATAACCTGACTTGCACAGGTCATAAAGTTAGAAATAATAAARCATGGACCAGCATTCTTTTCCTCTGATTTCTAATCCAGTGTTCTTATATAATTATATTATTTCAATGATTAATGTCCGACTTACTAAAGGTCAATAACAGAAAGTCTTTTCTTTAAATATTATTAGGAACAATTGGAACATCTTATATTTCTAAATCATATTTTTAAATTTTTAACTGACATTTTCTTTTCCCTACTGTCTGTTCCTGTGTATGACATATAGGAGATCGTGATGAAGACGACAGAGGCTTTTTGAATTTGTTCCATCTTGTACATGCTCAGGCTAACTTCCATAAGGAGGTCTTATATTTGACCATGAATACACTCTCTCCCTAAATACTCAGAAAACCTTGCATTTAGAGAATACATCGCTGAATTAACACTTAGAAGAATACTACTTTTCCACACCTGAAGAATAGCATCTATGGGGCTTTTTATCATCTAAGGAACCTAGGAATTCAAAAGCTGCATAGGATTTTAGCAGCAATTGCTCACACGATTATTAATATAAAAACAACAGGCAAACCCAAGAATATGCTGTAATTTCTCTGGAAAATAAGCTCTGCCTCAGACTCCAAGTTTTGTTAAATTCAACACCAAACCAAAATAGAAGGTTAACTGTCAGTCCGTTCTGTTTGTGTGGATCTTTGAAAAAAGAGAAAATTCTGTTTTATAGTTAGAACAGACCCAAATTCACTAAACAATAGTATCTGTTCACTTTGCATAGGTTGTGTAGATACAGCCTAGAATGTTTTGTGAAGATTTGCAATATGGTATTTTAGAATGTGCAGAATATAAATCACATTCCTTATTACCTCTTGGCATGTGATTACAAAGAATAATATATTTCATTCATATTTTATATGGAGTAACAGATAAAGAACAAAAGAAGTATGTTGTATATATATATATATATATATACATATTATATATATATAATATATGTACAGGCATATCATATACATATATATTTCCTTCTTTAAAACAATGACACAAAAGGTCCATAAATAGAGGAAGGTATATATTATCATAATACAACCAAATCATCTTATACTTTTCTGGGGATTAGAATGAAATGTTACAAATAAGAGAAACTATATAATGAAAGAAAGTAGCTATTCTGCTGCTAGAACAATCTTCACAAATAATTTGCCCTTCTTTCTAAGCTTTCTTCCATATCTCAAAAAATGGGATTTGGACTGGGAGTGTAGCTCAGTAGTAGAATACAAGGCTCTGGGTTTTATCTCTAGCGCTAGCAAAAAAACAAACACACACAAACAGGAGCCCTCCTGGATCTCCCATTTCCTCTTTATGTGCTCTCCCCCTCTTACCCCGTGTCAAGTACATGCTAGGCAAGCACCAGTACTATTGATTTATACCACTGAGCCCCTGATCACCTAACTTCTTGACAGCCTCCTTCCAACTGGATTTCACAGAGGCTAGCTTTCTTTTCCCAAGACTTTGATTTAACTTACCTCTGGAGCTGATGGGGGGAAGAAACACTAGGATATATGRGAATTGTCTGCAGAAGAGGGATGGAAATTGTGGAAAATTCTCAAATTTTGGCAAAAAGGGCTCAGTGAGGGCTGGGGTTGTGGCTCAGTGATAGAGTGCTTGACTAGCATGTGTGAGGCACTGGGTTCAATTCTCAGCACCACAAATAAATGAATAAAGTAAAGGTCCACTGACAATTTAAAAATTATTTTTAAAAAGGGGGCTCAGTGAAAGATTTGATAGGACTGATGAGTGAACATTGTGGAGAACATGAAAATTGTGGTAATAAGATTTTATTGTACTTCAGTAGCAAAAGCAATTACCTTCAGTTTTGAAGGGTCACTTTCCTTTTATTGTCTAACTATAATCCCCATTGGTGGCAGGAATTTTTTTTCTCTAGATTTGTCATTTACAGATTTGTGCAAAAGCAAATTCTTGCTTTTATCCTGGTTTTGTTTTCTTTTTCTAAGTTGAAGAATTCATCCATAACTAGCTGGGTGTGGTGGCACATGCCAGTAATCCCAGGGATTCAGGAAGCAGAGGCAGGGAGATTGCAAGTTGGAGGCCAATTTAGGGAGACCCTGTCTCAAAATAAAAAATAAAAAGGGCTGAGAATGTAGCTCAGTGGTAGTGACAAGTACCAGAGTACAAAGTAACATCTTAGTTACATTTTTCTTCCCCACCACATGTTTCCATACCTACTTTGAAAAACCTAATAGATTTGTTTATCAAAACACTGATGATTCCAAGCTAGGATTATTGGGGAAGAAAATAAAGAAAAAGTAAAAGTTAATATAGGGGATATTTTTAAGATTTCACTAAGTAGTTACTAAATTTCATTTTTTTTTTTAGAGAATGAAGTTTTGCATTATGAAGTGTCCTTGAATTCCTTAAATTATCTAAGTTTACAAAAGAAGCAAGGTTTAATTTAAAATACCTTTGAACTATATTTGGAATCTCATTACACTCTTGAACCACCATGACTCGTTGCTGCAAATTCATTTAAATTCACATTATTCACTCTGAATAATTGTGAGATTATTCTCTCCTCCTAAAAATATTTTGGAACATAAGAAATTTGATGTATTCTTTGGATGCTACAGACAAATGGTATCATTTTATTACCACTAAAATGTAGCTAACAAATTCTTCATTTAATTATTAATAGAGACAGTCAGGCATGGTGTTCCATGTTTGTAATCCCAGAGATTTGGGAGGCTGAGGAAGGAGAATCTCAGGCTGAAGAATAGCCTTAGCAACTCTCTTCTCTCTCCTCTTAGAATAGCCTTAGTGAGACCCTGTCTCAAAATAAATTAAAAGGACTGGGGATGKGACTCAGTATGGTAAAGTGCCCATATAAAATAAATAAATATTAATAGATGCAACATTTGTGACCAAATTYGCAGTTTATACAACTCACTGGTCCAGTTTTTTGCTGAATACATTTGTCATCAGGAATTACAGGTAATATCAGGTTTTAAAGTGGGAGGTTAACTTGCAAAAGCACGTATTATTCTCATTAGTGCTGATATTGTGATGGTGTAGAAGTCACATTGCCCCCCCAAAATGGAGTATTTGCAAAAAAAAAAAAAATTCTAACACATTAAGAGACTGTCTATTTCTAACTCTATAACCACTGTAATACACAACTATGTCAACTATTAACTGGTCAGATCATTTAACCCATGTCTTTTTCTAAATCAGAAGATTGGCTTAAATTAGAAGACCCAGTCCGCAGCACTTTTTTTTTTCTTTTTATAGTGATTTCCTCAGTTTCCTTTGACTTTGATTCATAGGATGATTTTTCCTAGAAGCAAGCTCAAGTTCATTATATTTATCTTTATTATTGTTTCTCAGACACAAATCATTACCACCATAACAGTACTAATARCAAACTAATGGTGTTACTTTTCTTGGAAACCAATTGGAAGTTTATATCTTATGATAAATACTTTATGCCGTGTGAAACTATAGGACATCTATCTTTAACACATTTGGATGATTCCTTCTGCCCCTCAACTTCATCCTATTCGCAATGTGGGCATTAAGTGACCACACTTGGGAAGAGGTTCAAGTGTTCAAGAAGCCCAGTATTGCTTATCAGAATGTTCTCCAAGCACAAACAATAGGCACCTGTCTCACATTTCTCATCCTATGTTGATTCAACATGCTTACAGTTCTTTGGTTAATAACAAAGATTTTATTGCCAGGATAATTGTTCACTTTCAGAGATTAGAGCAAGTATGAGGTGCCGAGCAAAATGTGCAACTGGAAGAACCATCTTATATCAATAAAAAACAAACATTAACCTCTTTGTGTGATTTTTACTAAAGGGTCAACCTCTTTATATGAATAGTACTCAATTGTATGATGACAGATTTTTATGTCGATAAATATTGGGAGGTAAAAATGCTACAAAAGCCTCTGGTTACTTGACACCTTACTAGCTATATGACTTCTGTAGCAATTCCACTACCAGGTAGCTGGGAAACCTGTAAGAAATAAGGACATGCATGCACACTCCTTGGTTTATTGTGGCCTCACTAAATAGGAAAGATGACCTGAAAGATAGCTGTATTGGACACAGGGTACGAGAAAAAAGTGCCAAAGGACTAAGAACACTTTTTTTTCTCATCAAGAAAACAAATATAATTCCAGAAAATTTGTCAACTAACAAGACTTTTCAGAACAACAACAACAAAAGCCAACAGTTTAGGCTCTGAAAGGATATTTAATTWAAAAAAAAATTAACACTGGTAGACATTCAAAGATCACTGCTTGCTTAAAGGTACATAAAATAGAAAATATGCATTGTTATTTCAAAAACATTGTATGTGTGGCAAAATGTCTGACATCTAAAGATTTAATACTTGCTAAATTTTATTTAATTTGTTATTTATTTGTATTAATAAAATTAAGTTAAAATTAGAAACATTTCCAACTTGTTCAGTTTGTCATTATGCAAGTCACTGGGTTTCTTGTGCGGAAGCTTACTTTCATTTAAGCTATTAATTAGAGCTCTACTATGATAAAAAAACAAATTGTCTTTTTTTTTTTGGACAGTATTGGGAAGACACTGAAGATTGCACCTGCTAGGCATACACACACTCTACTACTGAGTTATGCTCCATAACCCTAATGAATCGTCTTAATATACAGCAATGTTTTTAAAAAATATTTATTTTTTAGTTGCAGTTGGACCCAATACTTTTATTTTATTTATTATATGTGGTGTTGAGGATCAAACCCAGGGCCTAGCATGTGCTAGGCGAGCACTCTACTGCTGAGCCACAACCCCAGCCCAATAATATACAGCAATGTTAAAGAAACTATATATTGATGTGCATACTTATGCTTAAGAGTATAGCATATAAAAATTAAGTAATTTTATTTGTTAGCAACTWCTCATAAATTGAGCAGTAATCTCTTAAGTAAAACTATACACTGTTCTGCTGTTTGGTGATCAAATCCCCAAACAATTAGTATTCCAGTTACCATAATTTAACAATAGTTCCAAAAAACAAAGTATGTAACTAAGTATTGTGGATTACCTGCAATTCCCCTATAAACACTATAAGATATTATATAGTGTTTTCTAAGAACAAATTAGTTCTTAGATATTTCTCCATTTATTTGCTTTAGTACTTTTTAAATATTTTTTTTAGTTGTCAATATACTTTATTTTATTTTTTTATATGCAGTGTTGAGAATCAAACCTAGTGCCTCGTACATGGTAGGCAAGTGCTCTACACTGAACTACAATTCCAGCTCCTGCCTTAGCATTTTGATTTTACACTGGAAGACRTATCAATGGCTTTTTCTGTTTTCTCTTTATATGTGACTTTGGTCTTATTTTTTTGTTTAAAGTAGGTGAAAATAAAAATGACTTAGAAGAGGCTCTTCTAGGCTTAGCAAATATTTAGAGTGTTTTTAAATTTAGTATATCATCTTTAATCCAGTGTATATTTTTTTAAAAAAATTTTAGTAGTTAATGAACCTTTTATTTATTTATATGCATTACTGAGAATCAAACCCAGTGCCTTGTACATGCTAGGCAAGCACTCCACCAGTGAGATACAACCCCAACCCCAAAATATTTGGAGTATGATAAAGCCAAAACATAATCTACAACAGATAATTTTCCACATCAACTATGCTTAAGTACTTTACTAAGGGAAAACCCTACTACTTTTTAGTAATTTAAAATTAAAATGATATTTTAAGGGTTTTTGAAGTCTGAATAATGCTAAATTTTTAAAAAGCAAGACAATTTTCTGAAACTTAATAAATTATGCCAATTTTAAGCTCAGAAAGTTTGGGTTTGATTTCATACACTCAAAAAAATGAGTTGTAGGTGGTTCTAACCTTGTAACATTTATCTTTCCTTTAACTTTTTTTTTTTTTTTTTCTGGTACCAGGGATTGAATTCAAGGGCAGTCGACCACTGAGCCACATCCCCAGCCCTATTTTATATTTTATTTAGAGAAAGGGTCTCACTGAGTTACTTAGTGCCTTGCTTTTGCTGGCTTTGAACTCAAGATCCTCCTGCCTCAGCCTCCTGAGTCGCTGGGATTACAGGCGTGCGCCACCATGCTCGAYATCTTTCCTTTAACTTTAAAAAAAAATCCTTTACTAAGAGAAATTACTTTCTCTTGGTAATCCTTTCTCTTGAAATATGTCACTTTTCCATACAAGCTTCTTATTTTCATACAAAAAGAGGGTATTAGTGTAATGATTTGTTATRCTTTGAATTTGGAATGACCCTCAAAGACTCATGTTGAAGTCTTGGTCCCCAGTGCAGTAATATTCAGAGATGGGGGCTTGTTGAAGGGAATGAGTCCTTGGGGATGTATCTTACCCCCAGCCCTTTCCCTTCTCTGCTTCCTGGCCACCATGAGGTGAGTAGGTTTGCTTCTACATACCCTTTTACCTTGACATACTTCCTCACTACTCTCCCAGAAACAATGGAGCCAGCTGACCGTGGACTGGAGCTTCTGAAACTGTGAGCCAAAATGATTTTTCCTCCTTTAGGATTTTCTCAATAATTTTGTCACAGCAATGAGAAGCTGACTAACACATGTTTCTTAGCCTTATGTGACACTAACTTTTTCCTTAGTAATTTACATTATTCAGAGATRTTTTTACTATATTTGACATGAGCCAAATGTAATCCTCATTTTATTGGACATGATTGCCCTATAATATAGGTTTGTAAAATTTATACAAAACTTTATATAACAGAAAGTATTTTTTCAATGTTTTAATATTTAGGATGCCAGGATGAAAATAGTTTAAAGGTAAAAAAAAAATTATACAAGCGAATAGGGAGGCTGAAGCAGGAGGATACCTTCAGGCCAGAAATTCCAGACCAGATTGGGTAACATAGTGAGATCCCCCATCATAAAAAACATTTTTTAAAGGAATTTATCAAAACAACACAATAAAACTACATCTATGTTATAAGCTGGCATGTTATAGCAAGAATATATAGGCACAAAGTTATAAAATTTATTTTTTTCTTTTTTTGCAATACTGGGGATAAAGTCATAAAACTTTTTCCAATATTTCTTTCTTTCTGTACTAGGGAGTGAATGCAGGGGTGCTTAACCACTGAGCCACATCCCCAACTCCCCCTTTTTTAATATTTATTTTTTAGTTGTAGTTTGACACAATACCTTTATTTTATTTTATTTATTTATTTTTTATGTGGTGCTGAGGATTGAACTCAGGGCCTCACATGTGCTAGGTGAACACTCTACCACTGAGCCGCTACCCTAGCACCCCAAGCCCTTTTTTGTGTTTTATTTAGAGACAGGGTCTCACTGAGTTGCTTAGGGCCTTGCCATTGCTGAGACTGGCTTTGAACTCAAAATCCTCCTGTCTCAGCCTCCCAAGCCACTGGGATTACAGGCGTGTGTCACCACACCCAGCTCAACTTGTATTTATTTCTTAAAACTATGCTATTTCACAARTAATAGAAAAGGTGGGTAAGCTTTCTGTCCTTAAGTAAGCATCTAATACCAGATTTATATATAACTGGTGTATGACTAAAACTGGCTTTTTATCCCCCACTGAATTTATTTGTTTGAATTTTATATGGATACAGACTGAAGAACCTTGATCTTATAAAAGACTTCAGAGTAAGCTTGGTTAGAGACTATACTATGAAGACTTAACCATCATAATTAACTGTGTACTTTGGATTCCTCCAAAATACTGGCATTTCCTAGGTAAGGATGTATAGTTGCTATCTGGGCTTGAAGTAGAAAATTACAATTTGAAATACATGTTTATGCCAAGGAGTCAGAGGAATATTCTAGTGGGAAATGTCCAGGACCCCACTGACAGTCATCCCTGAATTTATCAATATTCAGAGAGAACCATGCTTCTTTTTTTTAATATTTATTTATTTTTTTTAGGTGTAGATGAACACAACACAATGCCTTTATTTTTATGTGGTACTGAGTATTGAACCCGGGTCCCGCCCGAGCTWGGCAGAACTGCTCTACAGCTGAGCCACAATCCCAGCCCCTAGAACCACACTTCTTGTATTAGTGTATCTATAAATTGCTCATCTTTTTGTTACATACTGCCATATAGAATTTTACTTTTTAATATTTTTTAAAAAAAGCTTAGGCAAATTATTAAATATATGTATAATTGGAGTAAATAAATACTGCCGGGCTGGGGATGTGGCTCAAGCAGTAGCGCGCTCGCCTGTCATGCATGCAGCCCGGGTTCGATCCTCAGCACCACATACAAACAAAGATGTTGTATCCGCCGATAACTAAAAAAATAAATATTAAAATTCTGTCTCTCTCAAAAAATAAAAAATAAAAATAAATACTGCCATTTCCTCTAAAAAATGTGCCTGTTGGTGCAAAAAAAAATTACTTTTCCAATTGAATTGCCATTATAAAATGTCATATTGGGCAAGATGCAATGGCATATGTCTGTAATCCCAGCAATTTGGGATTGAACTTGCAGGAGGATTGCAAGTTCAAGGTCAGCCTGGGCAATTTAGCAAGACTTTAAGCAACTTAGCAAGACCCTGTCTCAAAATAAAAAAGACCTTTGGGATGTAGCTCAATGGTAAAGCACCCCTGGGTTCAATACCCAGTACTAAAAAAATGTCATATTAGAGAGAGTGAGTAGAAAGGGATTGCTGATAAATTACTGTTTTTCTATGAAAATTCTGTTCTCAGTAAGGTAGTTTCCAATAACAATACCTCTTAGAAGAATTCTACAATTTTAAAATGGGAAGGCATATTATCAATTCTCTAGTCTAACTCTTTCATCTGACAGAATAAACTAAAGCCCTAGAGTTTAAATGAAATATTGAAGGTCAGATAATTTGTTTGCAAGATAACAATGTTTTCTTCTTGTTCAGAACTTTATTTTGTTTTACTCTGATTATTTATTATTTATTTAAAAAAATTTATAGTACTGAGGATTGAACCCAGAGATACTCTACCACATACTACTTCCCCAGCCCCTTTTTATTTTGAGACGGAGTCTTGCTAAATTGCTGAGGCTGRCCTTGAATTTATAATCCTCATGCCTTAGCCTCCCAAGGCCCTGAGATTATAGGTGTGCGTCACCATACTTGGCATTATTATTTTTTAAGAGGTGGGAGTCTTACTTTGTTGCTCAGGCTGGCCCTGAACTCTTGGGCTCAAGCAATTCTCTTGCCTCAGCCTCCAGAACAGCTGAGATTATTGGAGTCACACACAACTTTGTCCAGGATTTAAAATGCAAGTTTTCCATTTTAATTGTAACATACAGTGTTTCAATTTTATTTCTTTTAAAAACACAGCAATTGAACACAATATTATTACAAAAACTATTAATATTTCTCCTTTATTTTTAAGATAGAAAGGAAAATCAAATGTAGAACAATTATGTTGGACTTTTCAAAGAATAGACACTACAGATTGGGGAACCAATTCTATCTTAATGCCAAAATGAGTAAATGAGCTTACTCAATCCTAATTGAACAGGGAAATATGTTGACAGTTTCCTTTTTTTATTTTCCCTCAAAAAAGGAACATTCAACAATCAAAAACAAAACCACTCACTTTGGGGTAAGAGACTTTTCCTAAATAAGGTAAGTACAGCCATTTTGTTTCAATAATTTATAATCAGGAATAAAGAATAAAAACTTTCTATCCATTTCAATTTTTAATTAAAAAACTAGGGGCTCAGATGGCATGAGATAGGGAAGAAATAATAAATCTTAAAAACTCAAATGACAAATTTCTTCTGGCCAGAGAGTGAAGACAAGGGAAACCACACAACCCCAGAYTGTGAAATCTGTAAAAACACTGATTAGACAGGCAACTTGAACTTGCTCTTGAACTTAAAAGGGAACGCCTGTTTGTGGTGAAAGGAAAGAAGGTATTTCAGCTTCATGTGCAGTAGCATTTAGACCTAAGGAAAGGCTACCCAGATGGATTTTTGAGCAGTTTTCCACTTTAATGAGTCTACATTTCAACTTTCTGTATTCTCACCACGCTCTCTCTACAGCTCAAACGCATACAGCATCTGCCAGCCATGCCCATGAATTCCTGATGTCCCAGTGAGTGCCTCTGCCTCTGCCTCTGCCTTTGCCTCACAAAGCCCCTTGTTTGCCAGGGGTTAACCATGTCCGGAAGGCTCTGGAAGAAGTCTGCTGGGCAGCAGGGCTGCTGTTGTTGATAAGAGGCCTCTTGTTGGACTGGAGACAGGAGCTGTGGGAAACCAGAAACAAAAAGGCTCAGATGGGAACAGCAGCAAAGGTCTCAACCACTGGTCAGACCAGGAAAAGGATTTGGAGTTCCTCCCTCCTCCCTGCCAGATTCCACAGCTGGGAAAAATGGACACCCCCCCCCACAAACCCCACCCCAAGTAAATCCATTTGTTACCTTATCATCAAGTAAGAACGAGTCATCAATGAATTAATTAATACAATTATGCCAGTATGGTTGTAAACTACTCTGCTGGCACATAGAATCGTTTTACCTTTAATTGCCTGGATAAAACGTACAACTTGGCTGCGCACCTAACTTGAAGAGGAAATTAGGAAAGGATAGTTCCTCCCTGCCATTCACGTCACTCCAGCCCATCCTATTTTAAAATCCTGTGCATTCTGGGTTTATTTTTAATTTCAAAAAACACATTTTAAATTAGGCTCTAAAGAAAGAAGCTTGTGTTTCTTATTCTTTTCAGAGCAGTCCAAGAAATGCTATATCCGTGCATCTGAGAAATAAATAGGAAAACAAGCTCTCTTTTCATTTCATTTTTGAATCAATACCCAAAATAATGACCAGAAGCAAAAATCCACCGGTGCGTCAGCAAGAAGGATGCTCGGCCCTTCAGCTCCATTCTTCCCCTCTGAGCTGTTCTCCCGCAGGCTSTCGGCAGCAAATCCGGCCACTAGAGCAGATAGATAATGTAGGACAGAATGACCAAGCCTATGATGGCAAAGAACATCAGGATGAAAATATCCAGCATTGTGCAGTCCTAGGCCAAAAAGGCCTCTAGGTTCTGTGAAACGTGAGCTGGGAGCGCCAAGGTTGCGATCCGTGCAGAGAAATGGCTCCTCTTCCCTTGTTCCTGTCCCTTCCCCCCTCCTGGGAACCTGAGACTAAGGGATGCTGTGGCTCCATCAGCAGTTTACACCCCCCCCCCACACACACACACCACAGTCAACCAATCACAAAGCCCGGGGGGGGGGGGTGTGACCAGGGAACTGCTAGAATTAGACCAGGCAGAACSGAAGAGGCTCACTTTCTTCCCAGGAACCCAGACCCACTTTGTACAGAAATGCTAACTGCATTTAGATACATGGTATCTCTATGGAGTTTACCTGCTGGGGAGCCTGGAGGGGATAGGAACTTTCTCCAGATCACCTGAGAATGGATTCTCCTGCTTCCTTTTTTCCTCTCATATTTCTGGCAAATTATCTCAGAAAAATAATGGCTAGCAATGGGTGGTCCACTGATAAGTTCAGAAGGTCACCACAATGTGGATGGGACATGGACAATGGTCTCATGTGAGTCTCAGATGGCATCCCTAGGGATGGAGCTAGCTTCTGAGTCCTACACTGTGGCAGATACTGCACTGCAAGGTGTAATTTCAACCTGCTTCAAGTCTTTTATGCACGGCTGGGAGCTTCCCTGATGTTGAATAGTCTAATAGCAGCAGGAGTGAGACTCACACCAGGCTCACAGACTACAGAGTCMACACTCTCCTCTCCAGACTGGTTGCTACTGGTTTGGGCAGTCCTTGGACCCTGACTGCTCATCCCCATTTGTGGTGCATTTTATTCACATGGCTCCATTTACAGGATGAACACGGGTCTCTCCATCTATCCCTTCACTCCTGTGCCATTGACACCGCTTTGTTTTCTCTTCAAAGCTCAACATGGTGTTATCCACAGAGAGGACACTGAAAAATTCTCAGGCTTATCCCTACGTAATAAGTGTCTAGAAAAGCAAATTCAAGTCATTTCTTCTGAAGGAAAAAGGATTAATGTATTATTATTGTTGTTGTTATTGTTTATTTTGGTACTGGAGATTGATCTCAGGAGTATTCGACCACTGAACCACATCCCCAGCCCTATTTTGTGTTTTATTTAGAAACAGGGTCTCATTGAGTTGCTCAGCACCTTGCTTTTGCTGAGGCTGGCTTTAAACTCACGATCTTCCTGTCTCAGACAGTTATGACTTTTGTTGCTTTATGCCTTTTTATAACTTGATTTTCTATTAAAGTGTCCCTGGGATATCTCTGAGGCCTACTCTCCAATTTTTCAAAAGTTTGGGGGTTAAGACATTGGTAACCCCCCTCAGGAACTTAGGCTGCTTCCAAAAGGGGGTCTATTCCCATCTGGGGATGGATCTAGAAACTCCTCCTTGGAGGAGTTTGGCCCATTCCCAGGAGGCAGAGCACAGAGCCTCTGTGAGGATGAAAACAGCACTGATGCCCTCCAAAGCCTACAGCCTCCTTCATTCACTCTGAAGGTAAAACCTMCGGGGGAAGAACCAGGGGAGGGGCACTGCAGCTCTGCAGAGGGATCCAGCCAACAAACTAGACTTCCCAACTCATTTCCTCCTACTGGGAACGTATTAGGCAGCTACTTCATTTAGGGATGAGTATCAGTATTGCCTTTAATTGTAGCTCATGGGGCAGGGGCACAGTGTTCACCACCAGAGGCTGTGTGAGACCCAGCATCCCATCAAAGTAGTTACTTCCTTTACAGGCTCTAAGGAAGATCAAAGGAGAACATGCTAAAAATCACCTTCCTATGGCTCTGAGAAGAGGGCCTTGAGATGCTAGGCCACCTTAGTTTTATCCTAAGTCTTGTACCACCATGGGACAACCTCTGTCATTTTACTYTTCAAACCATGCTGAGGTCTCACCACCTCGTAGAACTAGAACTGCTCCAGGGCTCATTTGTTAGTTCAGTATTTGTTGAGCAGCTCCATGCAGGACCCTGGACTGGTACCAGGGATTGAAAGATGAATTTGACCCAYTATCTGCCCGGAGGGGCACTGGCTGGTGGGGAGACAGTCATCACTAAGGAAGCTGGACAGTATAAGGAGGAAACCAAGAGCTCAGGCAGTGTCACCACCACCTCGTCAGGTAGAGAGGGATGAGTGGAAAAGCCAGGAGTAGGCTGGGAAGAAGGAAATGCTCMACAGCAGGAAGCAGATGCCAGAGCCTGGGTGGGCAGCAAACTGCCCCTTGGCTTCCAGATAGTCCTTCTCTCCCTACGGGCCAGCAGGAATCCCAGAGGGCACAGGGGCCAATGGCCCCAAGCTCATAGGACACACACACCAGCACCTCAGAGCCAAAGAYGAAACCAAATCCGCAGGTAAAAATTATACTTTTATTTGAGTCACCAGGAGAAAGTTTCACTTGTGGTTCAAGTCAAATGTTCAGAATCACAACAGGCCAGAAAGATTTGATCCCAAGCACAAGCCCATGAGGGAGGGGACCAAATAGACCCAAAAGACAACAACCCCATATAAAAAGATGAGTGAGTGGTTTCACACACACGCACGCATACACACACATACAAACAGATGAAATGCTTGGACAGGCGAATTTCACAGGGTCACTTGTTTCTTTTTAAATACGGGTTTGTGGGGTGGTGTCTTGTTTTTTTCCAGCTATTAAAAAAAGGCCCAAAAGTGCATGTGTGAAGGGAAAAAGGCAGAAATGAAGCAATAAAGGAGTTTTCCCTGGAGGGATGGGGCGGGGGAGGCAGGAAGCACTGTTGGAAGAATCCACACTTCCCATGGTGGGCTTTTGGGCACGGTAGGATTGGTCCACAAAACTGATGTTCCCAGGTATTATCTTTCCTGGGTTAGACTGGCTACAAGACCTCTGTGAAGGTCAAAGATCAGGGGCTCAGCTCAGCCCTTGGGGTTCTGTGCTCTTCTRAGGGTGGAAGGTTCTGGGAAGGAACATAGGCTCTAGCTACTCTGGGTCCCCTCAGCACCAGTGTGAGAGTGCCTCCTCTCTCTGGGGGTGTGTGAGAAAGCATCCCCTATTTTTAGGACTTCAGATGGGAAGAATAGGAGCTGGCTTGCCTTGTTTTGGAAGTCCAGCTATGTGAAATAGGCTGCTGGCTCCTCTTGAGGGAGGTGGCACCCCCTCCCAACCACAGTCCCTGCAACAGGATGTGTCCCTGACCTCTGGTCCCCAGATCCACATTGTGCTTTGAAATCAAGAGAAAACAGAGTGGATCWGCACCATCCCCAAGGCTATTCCCCAATATTCTTCCTCTGTCCAGCTTGTCCCCAAATCGTCCAAGAGGACACTCCACCTGCCCTTACTTAAATGAGACAGAAAGGAAAAGGAACGGGTCAGGCAGGTGCTCCTTCCAGCTGCTTGTCAACCTCTGATCTGGACTACATGTTCCCAAATCAAATGTGAGCCACTGACAGGACACTCATGCAGACCTGATTGCTTAATAGGCTACCATCCTGGGGTCCTCGCCCCTCACCTGCAGGGCTCAAGTGTGCAATGGGGCAAGATGCCACCTGAGGGGCTGGGGGTGTGGCTCAGTGGTAGAGCACTTGCCTAGCATTTAAGAAGCCCTGGGTTCCATCCCAGCCCTGGGGGGAAAAAAAAAAGTCAGCTGCAGGGCCTGATCAGACTAAGGTTGACAATGTGGGGAGGGGGAGACACACAGGGAGGTGACAAGAAAACCCAGAGATGAATAAAGCCAGGGGAGAGGTATCCCGGCCCTCACCCAGAGAAGGAACTTTGATGTAGCACCGTCTTGCCCTTCCTCCTCCCAGAGCCTGTGCTTCCAGTTTTGGAGCCCTGGGACCCTCTGTTGCTTCCAGTAGACACAGGGGGAGGCTTGAGGGGAGACTGAGGCACCACAGTGAGTGACCAAGAACCTTCTGGTGYCCTACTCAGCAGTTCCAGGAACAGGGAGAGAAGAGGCCCACACCAAGTCTTCCCCTTTCTCAACCCAGCGGACAACAGGCCCAGCAACAGTCCCCAACTCCACAACCACCCCCACCGTTGCTCTTCACCCTGAAAAGGGGGCCATGGAGTCTCCTCATTCAGATAGGAGGAAGGAGGGCTTCCACCCCAGAGAGAACCCAAAGAGCTTCTCTCCACCAGGGTCCTCCCTCTCACTGTCGGTTTAAGGAAAACATCAGGGGCAGAGGGCTCTGCCCCCTTTCTCTCTCTCTCACTCACACATACACACACGCACGCACGCACACACACATATACCTTGCACACAAGCCCAGACACCAGCAGTCATACACCTGGTTCCTCCTGTCACCCTTACATTTTCCTGTTACAGTCATCTGCACACATGCTCGCTTGGGTCCCAGCAAGCCAAGCTGTGGAGACAGAGCTGGCTTTGCACAGCTCCAGGCCCACTTGGCACAGAGCAGGACAGGGGAGGCTATGGGGGCCCCAGACCTCTACCCACGAGGAGGGAAGAGCATGGCTAACCCAGAGCCCAGGGGAGGTCTCCACGCCCTCAGCACAGCTTCCAGCCTGGGAGGCAAAGGAGTCCCTGGAGAATGGGGGTGGAAGTGGGGTAAAAGGGAATGCCCTGCTCCCCTCCTTCCTGCGGCTGCCCCTAAAGCTAAGAAAGGCAAGAGCTTCACCCAAGCTGTGCTTCCTGGGGGCTCTTGGTCTGCCTGCCCCCCCAGGTGTGGGGGTCACAGTRCAGGGAGTACATGGGGAGGCAGAGGGGAGAGAGGGAGATCCCTTGGTGAGTTAGCAGCCCCCACATTGAGAGAGGGGTAAAGCCCCCATCCTGGTCCCACACACAGCGGAGCCCCACCCCACCCCACCCCAGGGATGTATAGAGTCCTGCCTGGGGGTCCTGGGCATGTGGGGCTCACCTGGCACTGGAATGTTTGGGTGTGTGAGAAGCTGGGCAGGGGGCATCCGAGGGGTCAGAGAGAGGGGAGGCTAAGCCGGGGGCCACAGAGGTCTCTGGTTCCAGCCCGCCCAGCCCGTGGGCCTTGCCCTCCCCCAGAGTGGCCATGCCTGTTCCATCCAGAGAGAAACCAGGAAGTCAGACAAGGGGAAACCTGCCAGAGGAAGGAGCCCGCGAAAGTAGCAGAACAAGGCTTCAGTTGGCAAAAAAAAAAAAAAAAAAAAGCTGGAGGAGGGATGGGAATAAACAAGCCATTGCAGATCTTAAGAAACAGAGACACTGAAGGGTGGATGGGTCACGACCCGGGACGGATGCGATGTCATGGAATGCACTGAAGACTGGGTGGGGAGGGCACCGCGGGGCTCAGATGGCCTCCACGTAGTTGGCCGGCAGCATCCCCGTGTCGCCGGTGCGCTCCACGGTCCCATACATCCAGCCGTCGTCGATCTGCTGCACGTTGACGATGGTGTCCCCATCCTGGAAGGAGACCTCGTCCTCGTCGGCGGCGCTGTAGTCGTACACCGCACGGTACCGCTTCTGGGGGTGGGGGTGCACAGTCAGCGGGGCCCGGCCGGCGGGCTCTCGCCCGGTTTCTTTCTTTTTTGCTGGGACTAGAACCCAGGGCCTCGCAAATGCCCGGGAGCGCTCCACCCTGAGCTTGCTCCTGACAGCTGTACCTCCAAGTGACTCYCCAGGACTCCTGAGCACACCCAAGAAACCAGTCACCCAAGAGATGGAGGACCTGGGCTGTGATCTGCCATCATTTTTCTTGTGTCCTACTTTCTGAAAGYTCCCCCCCACCCGCCTTTTTTTAAAAATTTTTTTAGGGGCTGGGGTTGTGGCTCAGCGACAGAGCGCTCATCTCCCACATGCGAGATCCTGGGTTCGATCCTCAGCACCACATAAAAAAAATAAATAAGTAAAATAAAGGTATTGTGTCCAACKACAACTAAAAAATAAATATTAAAAAAAAAWTTTTTTTAACGTGGTGCTGAGGATCGAATCCGAGCCCCAGGCCAGTGCTCTAATGCTAAGCCACGACCCCAGCCCGAGTTCCTGTCCTTTATGGATGTACTTGGCACTGACTAAAGGCCAGGCACAGGGCAGGCTGGGGATACATTCACCCACCTCGCCTCCCCCACCAGGGATGCAGGAAGATCTCAAAGGCAAGATGTGGAGATTGTGTTTAAAATTTTGATCAAAAATAAAATAAAATGTGACGATGGCTATTCACTACTATTTGGATTATTATAAGCACCAATGGTTTCCTTTTGACRCCATGACTAGACTGGTTTTACTCCCAAGTTGGGGACAAAAACCTTTCCTTGAGGGAAAAATCTTGAGTGGTCATGAAATGTGTATCACGCTCCACCTTCCAAACCTCAGTCACAACCTGTGTAAACCCCATCATAGATGATCCCTGACGTGACATCTATTGGTGGTAGATGGCCATCTAAATTCCTTGGTTCTCACTGTACCCTGTCCAGGGGCTTCAAAAAACAAAGTTTGAAATCTATAACCCCGCAGGATTAGAGGCCACACCCCTCACAAAGTGAGGTGGACTCTTATCACTAACTCTACCTCTATCTCAGGCCAAAGTTGCTGCCATCTAAGATCRTGTCTTGCAACTGCCTCCCAACTTGCCTCTCTGCTTCACCCTCAGTGCTCAACTGCTGACTTCCCATACAGGCGCCACCACGATCTTTTAAGACCATTATGTCAGGCCAGGCCTGGTGGCAGGTGCCTATAGTCCCAGATCCTTGGGAGGCTGAGGCAGGAGGACTGCTTGAGTCCAGGAGTTTGTGGCCAGCAAGACCTTGTCTCAAAAAGTAAAAAAGGGTAGCTGGGGGTGGTGATGCACCTCTATAATCCCAGTGGCTTGGGAGGCTGAGGCAGGAGGATCGCAAGTTCAAAGTCAGCCTCAGCAATTTAGAAGACCCTATCTCAAAATAAAGGACTGGAGATGTGGCTCATAGGTTAAGTKCCCCTGGGTTCAACTCCTAGAACTAAAAGTAAAAAGGACAAGCAAACCCCRTCAGTCTGCACAGACTGCCAGTCACCAAGGCCCTCCTGTGGCCTACGAGTACCTCTAGGTCTGACCTCACCTACCCTCCTCCGTCTCTAGTCGCCTCAGCCCTCCTGATGGCCCTTGAAATGTGGTCATGAAATGTGTATCAGGCTCCACCTTCCAAACGTCCTTGAACTTGGGAATTTTGCACTTGCTGTTCTCCCTGTGCCATTCACCCCTCCACTTTATTGAGGACTTTGCTCAAATGTCACTTTTTTATTTTTAGTTGTAGATGGACACAGTACCTTTATTTTATTCATTTAGTTTTTTTATGTGGTGCTGGGGATCAAACCCAGTACCTCATGCATGCTAGGCAAGTGCTCAACCACTGAGCCACAACCCCAGCCCTCAAATGTCACATCTTGACCCTGCTGCTCCCTGTCCCTTACCCAGCTGTCTATCTTCATAGCATATGCCAGACAGTGATCTGGCCTGACATTATTTACCTACTGAGTGATTGCTTTCTTGCTGGAATATAAGCTCCTAGAGGGTGGGAAGGTGRTGGAATCACTCATGTCCTGTATCTGAAGGACTGGCTGGTCATCTGAAACCTTATCCTTCAGATGACCTCTAACCCAATCCCCATGGCAATAACACATCCTTGCGTATGTCCAGGACAAGAGGCTCCTGGAAGTCACTTGTCTCAGGCTATTTTATTTCTCGGCGTATCTGTCTTTCTCACTTATAATCTGCTTTGAATTCCCAGGCACTCAGAGCACGGGGTCACTCAGAGGTGGACCACAGGTGTGCTATGCAGCAGGACTTACAGGTRAGCCTCGTCCTCTCTAAGGACTGGTTAGCGGGGCCTGCCCACCTTTCTACCTGTGCTTATTTGTTTATTCAGCAAAAAGGATGAGCTCTGCTCTGGGCCTGACTCAGAATAAGTGGACCAAAGGACACTCCCTGCCTACATGGGAACACAGAGAACTTACTAAACAGAGAACTCTTAAATTTGGAAAAAGTGCTCTGAAGGAAAYCAGTGGGGCATACAATGTCATGGAGACCCACCTGTCATGGGATGGTGTGACAGAGCCCTTAGAGCCCGGGATCAGCTGAGCAGAAGGACATGGAGGGATCAACCCATGAGAAGCAGGGCCCAGGTCTGGAAGGCCCCAAGCAGAAAGGTGCTTTGTGTGCACCCACAGAGCCGGAGCAGGGAAATGGCCAGGACAAGAGGAGTGACTTGGCTGACACACTAGGGCCAGGACCCAGGGCCCCAATCAGTCAGACCTGGCCCCATCCACCGCACTTCCTCTCAGTAAGGCTGAGACCCCTGCTTCCTACACAGGGTCAGGTCAGGAGAAGCCATGGCCTATGTCCAGGAGGCCTTCCCAGGGGCGCCAGTCCCTCTGGGGGTCTGTCCACCTAGTCAGGGCTACTCACCCCGCCCCCGCCTGGGGCGCTGCGCTGTATGGAGACTGGGGCTGCAGGCTCCTTGTAGCCACCGTAGGCTGGGGTGGCCTGCTGCTGCTGGGGCTGCTGGTAGACTGGAAGGTGGGAGAGAGGACTCAGAAAGTGATCTGCGAGACCCAGCCCTTCCCAGGTCCCCTCGTGGGGCCAATGTCACCRCCCCATCCCCAACCCCACTCGCCCCCACCCCTCAGCTGCTCTGCCTGTGGAGGGATTCCCCAGCAGGGTCTGTGTGTCCTCTCAAGCTGGGGGCTGCCCTCCTGATCCCCGGCCCAGCTCAGGCCTGACCCCAGCGCCRTGGGTGGGACCTGGGGTTTGTGCCTGTGTGTGCGCAAATGGCTCTCCTTCAGCCCCCTCCTGGCTCTTGGGCCTGGCTGCACAGGCCCACACCCACCAGGGGCGCTGGTCGGGACGTGGTGAGGTGGCTGCTGCTGCTCCTGAGGCCGCCGGTAGCTGCTGCTGTCCTGGGCGTCCCTGCGCTCTGGCTCCAGGCCCTCACCCCCACTGGGGCCCATGCGGCTCTTCTCAAACTCCTCATGGTACTTTATCTGCAAGGGGCAGAGGCACCAGGTGAGCGCTCCTGCAGCAGGGAGCTAGCCAGGATCCTGCTGCCACAGACCCTGAGAGGAGAGTGGAGCGCAGGCATGAGCCAGTGGTCCCAGTTGTTTGGGAGACTAAAGCAGCAGGATCACCTGAGCCCAGGAGTTCAAGGCCAGCCTGGGCAACATAGTGAGAYCCCATCTCAACAAAGATCCTGGGCTGGGAGGCTCCCTGAGGACTCCAGGCAGGCAGAGCACATCTCCATGCATTTGGAYACACCTGTAAAATGGGTCACTGGTGTCTAGCTTAGAAGCTGGAGATGTAAGAACAGGGCCGTGGAAGTGACAGCATCAGATGAATGTGAACGGTTATTTGTATGTGCCTGGGGCAGGGACTRGGCCTTCCCTGCTTCCATCCTGGTCAACAATAGCAGCCAACTCTGTTTACTGAGCTCTTACTATGTGCCAGGCACTGTGCTAGGTATTCTGTGTCACAGGCTACTCTTCATCTGATCAGCACCTCACAGGAGTCTGTTGATCCCTTCCCGCCAAAAGGCTTCAATAGGAGACTGCTGCTGTTCACGTGGTTTTATTTCACTCCTTTATTTAGTTGTACTGGGGATCAAACCCAGGGCCTCCACACTCTAGGTAATTGCTCAGCCATGATCTCCAGCTTCACACAGACTTTTTTTTTTAAACACAATMCTCTCAAACTATGTGCATTTTATCAATGACACAAAAATAATTTTTCAATATGGAAAGTGCAGTGTAAAACACACCCAAAACACGAACGGCAAAAGCAGGAGATGTAGAAGCAGCAGACCCAGGAGCACTCGGGTTTTCTGGCCCCTCATGAGACACTCACCCACTCTGGAGACCCCGAGGGGAGAAGCTCGACCAAGGGGAGGTGCCGAGACCCAGACTTTGAGTGCTCTGTGAGAGCTGGGCTGGCCTCAGGGTGGGGAGAAAGTGGGRCAGAGAGTGACAGGTCGAACAGCCCACCCCCACTCCCCAGGGGAAACTCAGAAAGCAGGGAAAGCAGGACAGAGGGACAGCCAGAGAGAGGCACAAGCCCTGTCCCAGGGAGTCCTGGGCCCCAAATTCCCTGCAGGCCTTGGGCACCTGACTGGAGGCCGGCCCTCACTTCCTGCTCACCAGGACCCTGTCCTGCCTCTTCCTGTTCCTGGGAATGGTGGGAGTGGGGGAACAGGGCAAAGAGTCAGGCAAAGCCTGTTTCCTGGAGCAGAAGGGAAGGGCCCGAGGTCCTGGGCCCTGAGTGTCCTGTCCAGGCCTGCCCCATGCTGACGCAGTCCAGGGCCCCCTTTGGCCAGGCTTTCTCTGCTGGCTCCTCTCGCCTTTGGCATTAGTTGAGTCKAGGGCAAGAGCTGACACTTGGAAGGGCAGACCCCAGAGCCAGGGCCCGCTGGAGACCCCTGGGCCACTTCTACTGGCTAAAGAAGTGTCACCTACTGCAAGCTGCGCCAGGAATGCGTGCGGGAGGCAGAAAGCAGCTCATTTAGGAGTTTGGGTCAGAACCAGCCCTTCCTTTCCCTGTCCCCTCCCTTCATGGCAAAGGAGGGAGCCACACCCAATCGGCAAAGCAAGCCAAGCCCTGCCCAATGCAGACGCCACCTGTTCCCATCCATACCAACAACCTGCACGTCTGCAAGCTCTTCAGAGTTCACAAAAGCTCTTTGTACATTACCTTCCCTGACCCTGACAATGATCACCCTAAAAAATAAGCTGGACACAGATACTTAAGTTTCCATTTTACAGGAGAGGAAAATGAGGCTCAGAGATACATGACTTCCAGAGATGGTGACACGGGGACAAAATCCTAGGCAGGCAGACTCTTCCCTGGTAACAGGCACAGGAGCAGGGTAACCACATACTGCCTGCCTCTAGTTCCAGCTCCTGTCTATTTAGCAAGATCCTGTTTCAAAATAAAAAAGGCTGAGGACATAGTTCCATGTCACAGCACCCTGGGTTCATCCCCCATTTAAAAAAAAAAAAAAAGAAAGAAAGAAAAGAAAACAGAATACCCCTTTTCATTTTCAAAAGGGGTGATAATCATAGGGCYACTCTAACTTGGAGGGGACTCCAGGCGTGCAGATCAGGAGAGATAGTGCAGAGGAAGCCTCTTCCTCCACCTCCCTCCACAGCAAATGAGGAACCTGTGTCCTTGCTTTGCTGGCCACCGKATGGGTGTTAAGCGCATCCAAGCACCACAAGGTGAGAGCACATTCCCGAGGCGTGGACCCTCCAGAGTTGTCCAGGGGGCTGGCAGATCGCTGCTCCCAGCTCAGCACATTCCTGATTTTCTTAGAGACCTGACTGAGGGTCGCCAGAGCCCAGGACCACCAGCAGAGCCCCGGGGCAAGCTGTCCTGGGCCCCCCTGGAGGAGGCCAGCTCCAACTGTGCTGGGAGGCCCAAGTGCACATGGTGCTGAGCCCTGGGCCCCTGCTGGCCAGGACTTCAGGGAGACTAGGTAGGGTCCCCTCCAAAGCCCTGCCAGCTGATGTTCCGTTTTCTGAAGCCCCTGCTTCCTGATTGTGGTGGAAAGACSGAGAGCGTGACTCCCCACACGTTCCTCCCCACATGATTCTTCACCACAGCTGAGGAGGGAGCACGGCGGCTCTGAGCAGAATAACCAACTCACCAGCCAAGGTCTCTCTTTAAAAATAACAATGCCTCTCACCCGCCGAGGTCCTGTTTTGTGCCCTTATAGGCACCACTCCCTTCCCTTCCTCAGCCAGACCAAGAAGAATATATCATTATCACCCCCATTTACAGATGGGGAAACCAAGGCTGAAGAGGACGGTGAAGTCAGCCTCCAGCTCGGACTTGAGAGTCTTAGTTCTCAAGCACCACCCCGTTACAGACACAGCATTTTACTTTTAAAACACATAAACCTGGGGCTGGGGATGTGGCTCAAGCGGTAGCGCGCTCGCCTGGCATGCGTGCGGCCCGGGTTCGATCCTCAGCACCACATACCAAAGATGTTGTGTCCGCTGAGAACTAAAAAATAAATATTAAAAATTCTCTCTCTCTCTCTCTCTTTGAAAGAAAAAAAAAACACATAAACCTGGACTCAACTTCATCAGTAGTCAGGGAAATGCAAGTTCAAATATTGCAARACACACTCAAAACGACTAAAATGGAAAAGCCTGAGGATATGGGACAGGAAAACTCAACACTGCTTGGGGGAAAAAGGTAACTCAGCACAACCACCTGGAAAATAGCTCAGCATCACATGGAAAGCTGAAGGGACATACACTCTGAGACCTAGCAATCTCACTCCACAGAAGCACCAGAAGAGAGGATGTCCAGTATGATCACCCAATGGAATACTATGCAGCAACAAAAAAGCGATGAACTAGGACTACATGCAAACATGTAGATGAAACTTCAAACCCAGTGTTGTGCAAAAGAACCAAGATATACCCATAACACACACATACCATACTGTATGTTCAAAATTAGAAAAGCCAGGGCTGGGGTTGTAGCTCAGTGGTAGAGTGCTTGCCTCTCAGGTGTGAGGCACTGGGTTTGATCCTCAGCACCACATAAAAAATAAACAAAATAAAGATATAAAAAAAAAATAGGAAAAGCCAAATAACAGTATGTAAACATATGCATATACTATAGTTATACATTAAAAACTATAGAGAAAAAGAAAGTATATTAAAATCAAATTAACAGGCTGGGGAACTAGCTCAGTTGGTAGAGTGTTTGCCTCATATGCACAAAGCCCTGGGTTCAATCCTCAGCAACACACACACAYACAATCAAATTAGCAAGGCATGGTGATGCATGTCTGTAATCCCAGCAGCTCAGGAGGCTGAGGCAGGAGGATCTCAGCAATAGAGAGACACTATGCAATTCAGTGAGACCCTGTCTCTAAATAATAAYACAAAATAGTGCTGAAGATGTGACTCAGTGGGCAAATGCCCCTGAGTCCAATCCCTGGTACCCACCCCCCACCAAAAATTCAAATTAGAGGATTACCCAGCAAGCCTGCTCTGAACCATTTGACTCTGGGAATGAAACTTGACTACTGATTAGCCAAACTCTGAAGACTGACACTAACTTACTGAACACAAAATGCTAATTCTTTTTTGGCTAACAGAAATGCAGAGAAATCTGCCTGTAGCCAAGATAACTTCAAAGTTGATGGTTTTATTGTCCTGTCGGACATTGACCAGGTGCAGCTCGAGATACACTCTCCAGCCCCTTGCCATCTGCCACCTGTGTTGTCCACCCAGAATCTCCAGCTAGTTAATATTTAACTAGGCTGAGGCAGATGCTAGCTACACTCTGGTCCTTAACACTCTAAAATTATTTGGGCAGAGGCCTGGAAATGGAATGTTCTGTTTCTTGGTTTGCATCAGGAGAAAGCAGGTGTTTRGGGGCTGGAGTTATAGCTCAGGGGTAGGAGGCCTGCCTAGCAGGCATGAGGCCCTGGGTTCAATTCTCAGCATGTGTGTATGTGTGCGTGCACGTGAACACACACCCAAAGTATTTACTTACATACACAGTAAGTATTGTGTTGCTATGCTGTTATAGTTTTAAAAAAGAGAAACTGAAAGTAACCAAAGTATATACAGAGAATCAATATGCAAGTAAACATGTCAGTGAATAAAAGCAGAGGCTTCCATAAGGGGCTCCAGTAACAAGTTTCTGGGGGTTTTAGGTGCAGTAAGCCCATGGAGCTCAGGCCACTGCAATGCTCAGCCCACACCGACAGCACTGGGCYGGCCTTCTTAGCCCTCTAGATTCCTTTAATGAGGACAGAATTACCGCAGATGCATCACTTACTGGCATCTCTCCTGGTAACAGGGCTGAGGTTACAGCTCAATGGTAGAGCTCTCACTTTGCATGCACAAGGCCCTGGGTTCCATCCCCAGCACCCACCAAAAAAAAAMAAAMAMCAAAAACCCTCATACCTTCTTAGCATTAGATAATGGCCAATTTCAGCCAAACTCTGCTCTACTTTCCTTCTTTAGTATAAAAAGCAGACAAGTCGGCCTTTGAAGTATTATTATCAACATTTGTCCTTGTCCTCACAATCAGCTTTCAAGGTAGGGCCAATTATTCCAGCATTAACAGATGAGGAAACTGAGCAACCCGCCCAGTGGTGGAATGGCAAAAGCAGGATTCCAGCCCTTGGGTTCTCCCTCCCCAGTACCTTGCCTTTTTTTTTTTTTTTTTTTGTGTGTGTGTGTGTGTGTGTGTTTTTGTACCAGGGATTGAACTCAGGGGCACTCAACCACTGAGCCACATCCCCAGCCCTGTTTTGTATTTTATTTAGAGACAGGGTCTCACTGAGTTGCTTAGCATCTCACCATTGCTGAGGCTAGCTTTGAACTCATGATCCTCCTGTCTCAGCCTCCCTGAGCTGCTGGGATGACAGGCAGGAGCCACCAAGCCTGGCGCCTCTTTGTGGTTCTAAGGACAAATGCACACAGCCAAAGCAATAATTCCCCAGACCAGATGCTTGTTTCCACAATGCTCTGGCTTGGGACTGGGATGTAGCTCAGTGGTGGAGCACGTGCCTAGCAAGAGCAAGGGCCTGGGTTCCATTCCCAGCACTAAAAAAATCAAAACAAAACAAAACCTCATGCTGGTAAAACCCGTAGCTGGAGAACATGACTCTAGTAGGACAAGTCTTCATCTCTTTGCAAGATGGCCTGACCTTCAGAAACAATAAGGTCATCTGAAGCTAATCTGGGAAGGGACAGGTCACAGACAGGAAAGCTATTTTGGAAAAAAAGGTGTGGCTCTGAACACCATCTTTCCCAAAATTCCTCTGGGGGTTGGCACAAGATAGCAGTGGTTCTGAGTGAGGTTTAAATTTCTCTTGAGGTTTTAGGCCAAGTCAGTTCTGGCATCCTCTGATTAGGGGGTGGCGAAGCTTACTTTTATCATTTTAAATGACAGCTCTCAATTTTAGCAGGCCATGTGCGGTGGCGCACACCTGTTATCCCAGCAACTCAGGAGGCTGAGGCTGGAGGATCACAAGTTCAAAGCCAGCCTGAGTAATTTAGTGAGACCCTGACTCTAAACAAAAAATACAAAGGGATGGGATGTGGCTCAGAGGTAAAGCACGTGTGGGTTCAATCCCCAGTACCAAAACATAAAAATGAAACTTCAGAGAGCACCACTATAACCCAAGGAAATGTGTCTAAAAATTGATTCCTGGGATCCAGAGAGGAGGAGGCCGGGCAAGGAGGCCAAGAGTTTGCATTTTCACTAAATGCCCGGATGCTCATAGTTGAGACACACACTTGACAGTCTTTAATTGCATTCACTAAAACCAAGAATCTTCACAGCCTTGTGGTTACACTTCAGAGATTCCAGCTAAAACTGCAAAAGCAACCACCAGGTCAGGTCACCTCCCCCACCTCAGAGCAGAGGACAATCAGCTAATTGCAGCTGATTGGTTGCTGATAAGATGGTTATCTCCTAGTGTGGATGTCTGGGCCACAGTGAGTTTTTGTTACTAGGACACCTCAGACATTAACACCTACAGTAATGGGGGCAGGCCGGCAGGTAGAATAGGCTGGGTGTRGAATATTCTGGAAGCCTTCCAGATAGGGTGGCAGGGACAAATGGGCCTGTTTGTCTCCTCTCCTCCGAAACGCACAGTGAAGCGATGAATGAAAGGTGCTGTGGGGCTAGGATTACAGGCTGGGAGCAGGCAACAGAGGTCTGGGGAGGAAGCTCAGCAGCAGAGTGTTTGCGGAGGCCTTGGTGTGATCCCCAGAACCGTAAATACATAGATAAATAAATACACAAAATTGAACACAGGGCCCCCCACAATGAAAAGCCCCAGGRGACCAGCTCTGTGAACTGTCCAGGTCGTCCCACTACCCAAGGCCATGTCCACCTTCCCCACTTTGCACACTGAGGGCTCTGAGCTCTAAGACACAGAACCTTGTCACCCTTTGGGGGACCTAGGCCAGAAGGGAGGCTCCAGGGAAGGTGCCAGCACTAGCATAGAAAGGGGTACATAATGGCCCACCTGTCCCCAACATGGCCATGTTCAGAGAGAGGCCCCCGGGAAGTACTGGATCATGAATGCTCCACCTCATGGATGGATCAATCCATGGATGGAGTCATAGCTAAATGGACTCCTGGGAGGTGACCCTGCAGGAGGTGGGGCCTAACGGAAGGGAACAGGTCTTTGGGGGCATCCTCTTGGGGACCACATCTTATTCTGGCCCCATTCTTCTCCTCTCTCTGCTTCACCACAAGCCAAGCAGTTCTGCTTCACCACACAGTCCCCACCGTGATGTTCTGGCCCACTACAAGCCCACATCGAGGGGCCAGGATCTCATGGGAAACCGAGAGTCAAAATAAATCCTTCTTCCTTTAAGTTGATTTTCTCAGGTATTTTGTCACAGTACCGGAAAGCTGACCTCAATACAGGGCAACTGTGGGAGCAAAGAAGGATGAGAGCCCTCTAAGCCGTGCCCTCTCTAGCCAAAGGGAAACACCCCATTTCCTCAGAACACCAATTTCAAACTGCAGGTCAATGATTTTGTTGTGAGACTCATTTAGTAAGTCTCCACTCAGCATCTTTACAAAATAAAGGAACAGAAAATATCTGAATGAGCCCTCCAYATAGTAAAATACTCATTCATGAAAGTTTTTTTCTCTTTTGTTTTTTTCCTTTGCAGTACTAAGGATCGAACACAGGGTGTTCCACCACTGAGCTGTATCTCCAGCTTTTCTTATTTTGAGACAGAGTCTTGCTAAGTTGCTCAGGCTGGCCCCAAACTTGTGATCCTTCTGCCTTCATGACATGAAGAACTACAAAGTCTTTTCTATGTTGCAGTGCTGGGGACCTAACCCAGGGCTTTGTGTGTGCCAGGCAGGTGTTCTACCACTGCACCCCAACCCTGTTCATGGAAGTTTTGTTTTGTTTTGGTTTTGGTACTAGGGATTCAACCCAGGGGCACCCAACCACTGAGCCACATCCCCAGCCCTTTTTTAAAATTTTTATTTAGAGACAGGGCCTCGGTAAATTGCTGAGGCTGGCTCTGAACTCATGATCCTCCTGCCTCAGCCTCCCAAGCTGCTGGGATTACAGGCGTGCACCACCACGCCAGGCTTCATGGAAGTTTTGATTATGTTTCCTTGCTAAAAAAAAAAAAAAAATGCATGCCTGGTTAGTGGATCCAGATGTAAAATATATTTCTTATCATACGTGGAACTCAAAGTTTGAAAGCCACTGTCTTGGGCGTGGCTGGCTTTGTTAGCTGCCCTGTGCTGGAAATCCGCTTGACCCACGGCTGTAGCCCTCTCCAAGTACTGCCCAGCCAACTTCCAGAAGGAGTGCCCTGCCAAGGAGGCGAGGATGGGGAGGGCTGTGGAGCCCAGAGAGTGGGTGCTGGGTGGGCCATCTGAAACTGGGGCCCTTCCCCAGTCCCCTCAGCCCACAGTCACACAGACAACTGGTCGACAGAAGACAACGGCCAGCYTAATCCTTCATTTACAGAACCTTGGAGCCCGGGCTGGCTGGGCACGCCCTTCGGCTTGGGGTACCGCAGGGCCCTGTGCACGGGCTTCTGCTTCTGCAGTTGTGGTTTAGAGCAGCACCCGATTCTCCACAAGCCCCAAATAAGGTCCCCCACGAGCCCAGAGCTGCTGCTGGTCTGTGGCTCTGTCAGGAAGGAAACTGAGGYCTATTCTCTGGCCCCAGGTGCTAGAAGGGCACATGATGTGGGGACCGTAGATCCACTGCCTGCTCTCCACAGCCACCTGTGCTGCAGCCAGGCCCCAGTGACCAGCCCAAGCCCAGGAGGGCCCAGGCTGGGGCTGCGGGACCAGTGGGCGAAGCTGGCTGGGGTTTTTACACAGGAAGGAAGAACAAGCCGAGGTGGGAGGAGGCGAGGGAGGGCGGAAATGACTGCAATGTCAGCACCCAGAGACAGACAGGAGGAGGCCAGGCCTCCCTGCCCCCACCCCCAGTTTTTGACCTTTGTGCTAAGACAAAGCCTCAGGTCTTCACCCTGACACCCACCATACCCAGAAAAGAGAAGACAGCTCAGGGTGGGAGAGGACGCGTCCCCCATCATCGTTCCTACAAAAGGGCACCTCTTCGAGGAGGAAACACYGTGTGGGCCCAGTGTGGCAACAGGGGGTCTGGGGCACATAGAGCAAAGGCACCTGGGAAGCCCACCCCTGCCCTGCCCTCTGCGTGGGCAGCCACCAGCCAGACCTGCCGGGGAGGAGCCACGCAGGGAGCTGGTCCCATTCATGTCACCAGGCWGGGCGGGAGGGGACAAGGAAGGGCAACAGGCAGCGTGGGCCCGAGGGGGGGGGGCAGGCTCACGTTGCTGATCTGGTCCTGGGTCTTCTTGATTCTCTGAAGTTCCGGTGTGTCTGCCACCACGCTGAAGCCTTTGCCCTTGTTCTTCTCAAACTCCTCCTTGTAGCGCACCTGGGGACCAGCGAGACAAAGAGGGACTAGGGTCAGGCAGGGGAGCAGAGAGCGCCCAGCTGGAGGCCCCTGTGAAACAGCACCATCAGGAGATAGAGACGGGGCCCAGAGAAGGATCCCAGCCAGAAACGCCTGGTGCTGAGCAGGCGCCTTGGCTAGCAAGTGACAATAACCCACTAACATTTCCCCAGCACGTTCTGAGAGGGGCACCGTGCTAAGTGCCTYACAGAAACTCTCTCATTTAAGTCCTAACCACATATATACTATTAGCCCCATTTTACAGATAAGGAAACTAAGCCATCAAAAGGCACCTCAGCAGCCATCTGTTCCCCTGCCTGAGGTCATAACAGCTTAGCAGCAAAGATCTAGTCACCAGGCCTCACCTGTCTGCCTTCTAACCCTCTCTAGCAGCCCCTCCTACCCGAAGCTATAGAAAGCTTTTCGTTTTTCATATTGGGATTAAACCCAGGGACACTTTACCACTGAGTTACATCCCCAGCTTTTTTTTTTCAATTTTGAAACCGGGTCACACTAAGTTGTTCGGAGCTTAGCTAAACTGCTGAGGTTGGCCTCGAACTTACGATCCTCCTGCTTCAGCCTCCTGAGTCACTGGGCTGACAGGTGTTGCCACTGCGCCCAGCAGAAAGAAGGTTCTCGCATGCGCTCCTAGGACTGCCCGCCCTAACCTAGCCAGGAGGTAGCCCTACCCACCAAGAGCCAGGGGTAGTTTTGAAGTGACTGAGTGAGTGAGGGCCGTGCCAAAGGACAAAGCTGGTGCCTAGAAGGGAGGGTAATGAGACAGCTAGAGGGGAGGCCTCATGGATCAAACTTTCTGGGGAAGAATCCAACCACCCTCTGTTGCCTTCCTTCTGTGAGAATTCTACGGAAAAGTCAAGTACTACAGGAACTCAAGACAGACATTACAAAGGACTCCCAAGCTAGGCATGGTGCTATGTGCCTTTAGTCCCAGTTACTCAGGAGGCTGAGGCAGGAGGATCACTTGAGTCCAGGAGACCAAGACCTACCTGGGTTGTTACCCTGTATCAAAAAAAGAAAAAAGAAAAGAAAAAGAAAAAAGCAAGAAAGCAAGCAGAACTTCTCTGAAACTAAAGAAATTGAAATATGAGGAACAGCTTGTCCTCCCTGGGGGCTTTGAAGAGCAAAACTGAGGCTGGGAAATACTTGTGGGACAGGGAATGTTCTCCTTGGCTTCCAGAGACTCCCTGTCCACCTCAGCAGCCATCTGTTCCAGACCCCGCCAGCTGCCTGGATTCCCTCCATGGGGGCCGCACTGTCCTGAGACAGGTCAGCCCAGGACATGAGGCCCAGGACTTTGGGAGTTTCCAGAATGACAAGCCCAAGCAGCTCCCAGGCTTGGAGTCACCGACTGCCATAGCAGTGAGCTGCTACTCGTGACATGTGACCAGTCCCCACCCTCCTCTTCGTAGCCCCAGCAGCCAGAGGTCCTGGTTTGGGGTTCTTCTTCCTCCTTTGTTCTGAGGCAGATCAAAATGAAAGGCATAGCCAGGCACAGTGGCTCCACCTAGGAGGCTGAAGCAGGAGGATCCCAAGTTCAAGGCCAGCCTCAGCAATTTAGTGGGGATGTGGCTCAGTGCCCCTGGGCTCAAAAGAAAGAAAGGCCAAGGGGTGGGACTCGGTTCCCATCAGACCAGAACTTATTGCAAGGAGCTATGGCCTTCCCACCCAGAACCTGCCCAACATCAGCTCTTCTGGGAGAAACTGGGTCTGCACAGTGGGGGACCCCTGAAGGAGGAGGACATCAGAGAACGGAAGGAACCTGAAGACAGAAAAATGTAGCTCTAGACGGAGAAGCCCTGAATCTAAGGCCTCTGAGCTCATTCCCCGCCTCATGTGTAAAAGAGCCATTAGAGGAATGGGTTAAAACTGGGGTAGGGCCTTCCCATCAGATTGTGCTGGTACTGACAGGCTCAGAATTCCTTCTGCTAAGTGATCTCGGGACAATGACTTAACTTCCCAAGCCTCGGTTTCCACATCTGTATAATGGTGACAATCGTTCCAGTCACCCGGACAGCGGCTCCACCGACCAGTGAGGGCGACTGTGAAAGTGCTTTGTCCACCCTGTCCTTCCTGTTTCCTGCCTTTGCAAGGGTCAGGCCCCTAATCCAGGGGAATAATCACCATGGTGACACTGCAATGACATCAGCTGGTTCCCAGGCTCAGAAACTGCTCCGCTCCTTACTGGGGAAGGATAATTCATGACTCTCCTAACACAGGAGGCCAGGCGGGGGGGGGGGGGGGGGGGGGGGGGG